CAAGAGGCAATTTGTTTCACAGTCAGTAGGCATATAAAACATCCATACTAGGTAAGACACTGAGACATTAAAATTACAGTACAGAAACCATAATTTTTTCGTGGAGAAGCCTTATCGCTACAGGGATGTATGTGTTTTTTAGTCTGTTTGTCCTACATCTTGGCAGCAGATACCTGCGTCCAGAAGGAAGCGAACTGAACTTGCCATGGAATGGGTGATCAGGATCTGCCAGAATCAGTCTGGCTTTGTTCACTGACCTCTCCTTGTGTTAGTCAGTGACGTTCTGTAGGGCTATGCCAGCAGTTTTGCTTCGCATCCTGACAATCCCAAAGAGTTTGTTCCTGTTTTTGCATGTCACAAGTCCATGCATGCATGTGTGAACAAATTTGACTCAAGTTTGGCACTGGTTGCCAGAACATGCAATACATATTTCCCTAAGATCTAGCTTTTCTAGCTGCTGTTTGAATGCAGCATGTCTGTTAGAAGATAGACCTGGCATCACATTTACTGGTAAGAAAAGTTAGAAGGTGTTGGTTCATAATATCCTTGAAGTTCAGGGAGTTTAGGCTCGTCGTTCAGGAGCTTCCGTCTTACTTTGAATCGATCTGGCAGCAATGAGACAGCCTATGAATCTGTTTAGAAGAGTGGAACTGTTCTTCATCCTATGATTCATTCAGATTATGGTGACATCTCACTGGGCTGTGACTAGTTTGTGATTGACATTCACGTGACTGACTCCAGACTCTCGAGGTTCTCAATATCCTCACTTGATTTGCAGAGGTGCACAGCCTCTTTGCTTCAATTTTGAACCTTTTTGTAAAAGTTCAACAAATTCTCTCAAAGTAGCAAAGATGTTGCAAGTGTCTCAAACTTTACAAGTTATTTTTAACAACTATAAAAAACTGGAGCTGTATTTTGAGACCTCAGCTGAAGCTCTCCTATGGTATAAATCATCAGAGGCTACAGACCAGGATGTTCAAGTCTAAAAGTCACTCTGACTATAAATTATATTTATTAAACCACTAATACAGTTAACAATAATAATGATAATAATAAGTGCTATGTATTGTCATCATTGTATGTTTCCATACAATGGCGAAATTAGTTCTCTGCATTTAACCCATCGCACATGAGATACACCTAGGTGGAGCAGTGGGCAGCCATGTAAAGCACTCGGAGAGCAATTGGGGATTAGGTGTCTTGCTCAGAGACACCACAACATGCGGGAATAGCTGAGGATCAAACCTGGGACTTTCGGGTCCCGAGTCAGCTGCCACATGCCTCTACCCCATCTTGGCCCCACCAGTTCTGCCCCTTTTTATTAGAACAGCTCCATTAAATTATAAATGTGGGCGAGGTTGTCAAGATGGGTACAAATCAGGTCAATGCTGATGTGAGGAGAGGAGGAGAGGGTTTGTTTATAAAATGATGTCCACAATCTTGAACACCTTTTTCCAAGTAGAGCACACAAAAATAAATCAGGATTAAAACAATTGTTTGCGCCTTATGCGGCTGCGCAGCACACTAGTCGCTCTGCTGCAGACGCACATGGCCACTTGCATTGTAAGGTTTGGTTTAAAGTGTTTGAATTGGGCAGTTCGACTCACTTCCAGCTCAATCTTTGGAACCCACAGAACTGGGGTTTCATGCGTGCCGACTCATGCTGAAGATTTGATGTCAACAGACAGCAGTTGATTTGTTTGCTGGTTTGGGGACCCTTCACTGGATGAGTCATATTTTCAGCGACAGCTCCAACTGAATACGATGACGTAACAATCTAACATCAGCTTACCTTCTTACATCGTGTTTGGCATAAACCTTCTGTATGGCCTTGCACACTTTCATGTACTTTTTGTTGTGTGTCTTTTAGCAGCATGCTGCTTTCTCTGGATCTATTTTAGCTTGTTTTTGATTAGAAAAAGACAGATGAGCACTAGCAAGAACTCCTTGGTTTCTATTGTTGGGTGTCGCAAAAATATGACGTCACATGAGCCAAGCGTGTTCGTGACAGTCCTGCCCACGTCGAGGCAGCGCTCAGTAGAAATCAAATTCAACAAGACTGTGCTGCTGAAGAAGACCGGGCTGAACCTTACAATACATTAAACAACAAACAACAAAAGATTCTCTTTTTTTTCTTGCAATTATGAAACACTATTAATCTTCAACAGTTGCAACCTTGAGAAATACTGTCTTTAACGTGGTTTTGAAAGTGTAATAATTAAATGTAGTTTTAATTTTAAATAAACTTTAAGGCAGTAATAGAGATAATTCATTTTTTTGTTGTTGTTATATCTGTGAACACCTCTTTCGTGTACCACACTCAGTGTTTGTTCCTGAATGATCTCGCTGCTCGTCGGTGAAGGGATATTTTTGGTACAGCTCATTTAATTTTCTGATCCTCCGCCTGCTTTCCTTTTCTTCACCTGTCAAAAACACACTGTTCAACTCCCTCTCACCCTGAGAACATCACAAGGCCACGGGCAAAGTAGTGTTTGCACTCTCTATACATTGTTCACACAACAGAGTTACTACTGTCAGTCTGCATCATTTCACAGGGCAAACAATCCCTGCAGATGTGAACACAAAATCCATATATTCATGTCATGGCGGACAGGTTATCTGGAGTGTCTGTTTGCTTTTCATGAGCTCACATGTGTCTCAATGAGTTTCTGGCTGTAGCAAAGTGTCTTGGAGTGCCGATGGCACAGTGGTGTGTATAACCGATGAATTATTAACAACACCATCAGCTGTATGCCCATGCTGCCTAACCTTACATGCACTCACAATTTATCATGCATCATCAAATGCATTAGGCGTCCTATTTTGGAGCGGCTCAAAATAGAAAAGAAAAAACACTAATTAGGGTTTTGTCTGCGTGGTTGTGTAAACCAAAATCACGAATTTCCCCCGTTTTCTACACTTAAAAGCATGTAGCTAAAGGGGAATGTCTTTAGGCTTAAAAAAAAATCTTTCTTCTTTTGTCTTTTAAATGATTTTTCAGATCAAAATGCGTGACTTCAAAGTTGCTCCTGAGCTCAGTTACTTTTATTTTGCGAGCTCTGCTGTTTGGAGATTCACAACTATGTATTTTGGAAGGGATTGAATTAGTTTCTAAGCAGTGTGAGGGTATTCAGTTCCTTAACAGAACATTTAGACCATCTCAGCATTTTCTTTTTTAAATGAACCTCACCTGGTGCCTGTATTTAAATTTCACCGTCTCTACCAGCTGTATATGAACCTACAGATGACGTCTGAAAACATAGCCCAAAGAAAAGAGGTTAACGTTTAACCTCCCTCAGCCAGAAATCTGACATTAAATGACACGAACTGTGAGCAGATGCCAACTGGTACGAGTGAAGTGATGTTTTCAGCAAAACTATCAGATGAACTTGATGGTTCCACACAAACTGCAGAGGAGATGGTTTGATTATCTCTTCTTCATTATTGCTTGCCACAAAAGGGACATTATGTTTTTACTTTCAGTTTGACTCAGTATGTAAGCAACAGATTTTAAAAGAACATAAAAACGGCACTAATATTCAATTTTACAGACATTGAGCTAAAAATTGAGGTGAGGAAAGCCAAGACTCATCCCCAACATACGCTTAAGTGCTAACAAATTTACAAACTGTGTATTTAAAATACTGTTATTAACTATTCTTTCTGTTAGCAAAATATTCCATGAACCAAAGATCAGATTTTATTGAATCTTTCAGGAAATTATCATTAAGAAAACATATGAGGGAGTGGTGGCACAGAGGTTAGAGAATGTGGGCCTGTGATCGGAAGATCGCCAGTTCAAGCCCCGGTACCGACAACATAAAAAATGTGGGTGGGGTAGGTGAAGCACCCACACCTGCCCCCACCCTTGTCCGCCCCACTCTGGGCCCCTGAGCAAGGCCCTTAACCCCCACCATCTGCTCCTCCGGTGTCCTAGATAGCAGCTCTCTGCTCCACACAGAGGGTTGTGGTAGCTCGGTGGTCTGTGGTTGCGTCAGGAAAGGCATCCGGCGTAAAAAAAAACAACAACTGCCAAGTCTTCATGCGACTTAGTTCACTGTGGCGACCCCTGAAGAAGGGAGCAGCCGAAAGAATACAAAAATAAATAAATAAATCATTAAGTAAACACGTTACTGATTGACTTTTAGAGCCAGTCGGTGTTAAGATGGCTGCCACAGTGAACTGATCTTACAAAACACAAAAATGGCAATAATTCTGTCAGTTTTACATATATTGAGCTAAAATTAGGTGTGGTGGTAGCTGAGAGGCATTCCAAACACATGACATCATTTGATATGGCATGACATATTGTTTTTGTTGAGGTTTGACCAAAACTGCTGCAACTTTGTCATTTCTCAACATAAGATGATTTACATCTAGTGCAGGGGTCTGCAACCTTTAGGAGCCATTTTTACACCTTTGTTCATGACATGAAACTTGTCCAGAGCCGCAACAACCTGCTACAACTGTGGTTATCAACTAGTGGCCCGTGGGCCACTTTAGGTTTGCTGGAGGTGGCATTTGTGGCCAGTAGGGGTGACATTATAAAGCATAAACTATCTAATGATTTTTACCATTTATTAAAGAAAAAGACCAGATAAGGGGGAAAAAAATAATTTAAAGGACCTTAATTGACTCAGTGTCTCTGTTGGTGTATATTTTGGATTGTTTATACTTCTTATTAAATGTCACACCGTAGTTGATAATTCTATGATCCATTGATTTTTGTAGGTTAGTGTTTATGTTGAAGTCTTGTAATTTATAACATTAGCTGATAAAAAGTGGTAGAAATGGGAAAAAAATAATTTTGAGTCTTTGCATGTGCTTCACTGTTTGCCAGCTGCTTGTTTGAATGATCTTCTTCTTGCTTTTTGTCCATCTGCTGTGAATTAGTAATAAAATGTCTGATGCATCTTTGAAATAAGTGAAACAGATCAACAATTTAAAAGGTTGTAAAATATTTAACCAAACTGTCTCCTGATTTTCTTGTTTTGTGCCAGCCTGTCCAGGGCTTCGACTACGCCAAGAAGCACATGGGTCGGACGGGGGATGACGCCATCTCCGTTACCAAAGAGACGCTGGTGTTGGGACTGCCGGTTCGAGATGCTCCTCTGTCACTGTCACTGTCACTGGATAAAAAGGCTCATCAAGATGGGACTGCAAACAAAAGGCCTCCATCTGCTGAGACACACAAAGCAGGGTAAGACCGACTCTTGTATTTACGTTAATTGTTGCTTTATTGCATATTTGTTTGTTTAACCCATTATTGTTGGCTGTCTGCTTGTAGGTCCACTGACTTATATTTGAATACAGAGCCTCATACATTCTTCTAGAGGTTTCAAATCTAAATACAACAATGTCAAAATGGCTGTGTAGAACCCCTCCTTTTGATTGACACCAGTTTAAACCAACTGGGTTGATCTATGGTCTCCTCAGAACCAATAATATCTGTGGAGTGTTATGTCCTCTAAAGGACTTTATTCTATAGGAATATTGGTAGTACAGTGTGCTAAGGAAGTGCTGCGTACATTTATGTTACATATTTTGTCTTTTTGCATTTTGTCTGTATATTGTATGTGGAATTGCACTAATTTGGTCAAATATCTCCAAAAGATGACCAAACTACTTAATTCTGTATGTGAACATGTGCCGCATGCTGTATAAAAATCAAAGCACAAATGAAGCTTAAAACGTTTGAGCCATAAACCAATAAATGTATTCATTTTTACTTTTATTGCTGTTGGGCCTAAGGGGACATCAACAATAAACAGGATACGCACATTTCTGGCAGTTCCGACTTGTGAAGTCTTTAGGGCTTTTTCTTTATTTCAAGCTGCAGCTCAACTCAAAACAGCTCCATTTAGTTTAGTTTTGCTACATCAGTCAAGGTTTCAGTCAACCCAAGCTGATAATAAACAGTGAATTAAAATATGCTCTGACCACTGGCTTGTCAGAGAAAATCTTGTGTCTGTGTCATGAATGCACTGCAGCTCTGTTTGTAATATGCTCTCAGTGGAAAAAAAAACAGCACCTCTGACATCTGAATAATTTAAAACAACATTATTCACACTCAGGAGCTTGTTTTGTTTCATCCTTATGTCACCAGAACTGTGCACACTACTGTGATGATAATTAGGGATGCACACCAGACAAGATGTAGACACAGAGTCATTAGAACCAGAACCAGAATAAGCTTTATTATCATTGCACCAAGATTCAACAAGAACATGTACGTACAGACGTCCGAAAGATGGGCGGAGTGCACGAAGCTGCTACTATGAAAGCACGGCCCTCTTATTTTTGTTCAGAATAATATTTTGCTTAGATGAGAAAAGAGAAGAAAGCACGAGGAGAGACGGTATAAAAAAAGATCTCTCATGCCATGTCCTAGACAGGGCACGATTTGAGGCATTAATAAAACCTACCACAGCAAAGCAACATAAATAGACGTGATACATGTACATATAGGCCGGTGAAGACATTAAATTTTAAGGGAAGGTTGTAGCATAGTCCAGAGCCTTCCCTCTCAGCCATTGTCCAGATAAGAGGTGTTAGTTATCGTCAGCTCGGTTGAGGTTCTGTCACATGTCCACGGCCATGAGGAAGGAAAGGTTGAGGAGACAGACAAAGCATCTTTGTTTTTTTCTAAACATGCCAGGAGGAGATGAGATAAGTCCGGCGTCAAGGCCACAGTTTGGGTCAGGCAGAACTCATGAATTGCTGTTTCTGCCTTTTAAAGTCTCGCTGGTATATTCCTCTGATGGAAACGCCAAACAGCCGAATTGATTCCTTAAAGTCGAGCTCACAGCTTCTCCAAGATTATTCGCACCTTCATGTGTGCTGCTAGAGAGTTCACAATCCTGATAACAGCCTGCTCCATCCAGCTCTCTGACGCAGCTCCACATAATTCAGTCTGAGTCCTGCCAAGCTTTGACACATCCACACAAATTTGTAGACAATCCAGATTTTACCAAGCCAAACAGGAAAAAAAAAAATAGTTGTCATCATGAATCCAATTTGTTTCCGTCGAGGTAAGAGGGTCCTCCTTACCCTGACTCCTGTTGATAAATTTTGTTGAGAGACCAGCTGATCCTTCGAATTAGGAAGGTATGCAGGAAAAAAAAAAGAGGCTCTTTAAGGGTTCACAGGACAAAAGAGTGCAAGCAGGGAAGCGGGGGGTACGGCGCGCCGGGAGACACATCTGACTTCACCGGAGTACAAAGAGAGAAAAAAAAACTCTGGTTAGTTTAGCAAATACTCTACAACTCTTATCCTAGTTGGAAGCTGTTGTATGAAGATCTAGATAATTCCACCCCCCCCCCCCCCCCCCCGGAAACAAAAATGTGTTAATGGATGGTAACAGTTTTTCCTGCGCGTACTGATATATCCATCCATCCATCCATCCATCCATCCATTATCTTTCCCTGTGTCTTCCTTTTTGGGTCACGGGTGTCACTGATGCCCATATCCAGCAGTCACTGTGTGAGAGGCGGGGGACACCCTGGACAGGTCTCCAGTATATCACAGGGACACATAGACAAAGAAGACACCAATATAACTATTTGTTACCAAAATATCTCATTAACCAATGGATGAACATAATGAAACGCTCCAAAAACAATTGTCACACTAATTCAAGATGGCCAGCACAGCCTGACCTTAAAACAAAGAAAAAATGTCTGCAACAGAGTCAGTTTTTCCAATATTTGACTAAAATTGTGTGTGTTAGTAGTTGAGACAAATCCCCATCACCTATTGTGAACGCCAACAGATTGAAAAATTTATATATATAATATATAATATAGTTACTATATATATATATATATATATATATATATATATATATATATATAATAACTTTGCCGAAAGAATATTTGGAGTCAGAAGATGCATGCATCTACAATTGATTAACTTTTTGGAGTTAATCAATTTAAGGTGACCGCCACAGCTAAGTAACATCAGCCAAGACACCAAAACACTATAACGGGGTTAGTTTTGCTAATGTTGACTAAAAATTGAATGTGCTAGTAGCTGAGAGTCATTCACAACACATAATCTGAGCATTCTGCAAAATTGTGTGGCATTCTGCATAACTATAACCAAAACTTGTTCTAAATGGTTACAACTTTCTTCATCAGAAGATGATCTCTGTTTGAAACTTTGGCATGAAATGTGGTGGGAGAGATGCATTAAAGAAATATTACAATATTGTTATGGAAACAATAAGACGTTTACAGGAGATTTTTGATGATTATAAAGATTATAAAGCGTCATCATGAATCACTTAACAAATAACTTAATATCAGTAAAAATAATTTTGTGCCTAAATAATGATAATCCCATTCACTTTAGGGCCATTCTCTGCAGAGGACAGAGAAACAGAGTGTTGCTGAATCAATCTGTGCAGCAAAAACCTCAAAATGATGCTGAGAGTTTGCCTTTCATGCATCAATTGAACACAAAAATGTAAAAACAATTAAAACAACTTTTTTTATTCTGCATTATAAACTGAACCTCTAAACTTCTAGGCTGTAAATAAGTTTTCTTAACTTCTCCTTAACTATCTGCGTTGTCACCTGAGTAGAAATGGTTTATAAAGATGCTCTGATAAAAATAAGCTTCTCTGAATTGAAAACATGGAAGAAGGTGAATGACAGAAAACATGAAGGATATATATAAATATATATATATATATATATATATACATATTTATATATAAGAATTATCCGAGTTGTTTCTGCTATCAGCAACACAGAGCACTTCTAATGCTGTGACAGGTGTCAAGGATGATTTCTCAGATCTCACTGCAGATTCATTATATCTCATTTATCAGAATGTGGTGGATTCGCATCACTAAAAGTTGTTTGTACGCAGGTAAAGAATTGAAATAATCTGATGAGGCAGACGGTTCCAGCTGGAAACTCTAGCAGCTGTTACAGTGACGACGTTCAGACATCAGGGTTTGTTTGTGGATTGGAGTAAAGCCAGAGTCAAGCTGCAAGTAAACAGAATACACTCAGACAGATTGATGTGATCTGAAGATAATCCCAGTGTCAATGAGGAGTTGTTTTAGATGAACAGTTAGACAAAATGTCACTATTTGAAGAAGGAAATTTGCAACAAAATGTTTGACTTGAAAGCTGAGTCTAACATCGTTTTTTCAGGATAAGAAAAAAACAAGCGGGTGTAAATTTTTGCAGCCCAAAATATTTCTGTGGATTAACAAGAATTACACGACTGCGTCTCTTATTGATTATCAGAATCTTGTCCAATTTCTCCCAAAATTTACTGCAATTTTACAATTTACGTTACTACATGAATAGACAAAAACAATTTATTTTCATTACTCGTTAAAATGTGACAAATGTCTTGATTGAGAAGTTGGATCTGTAGGAGCTGTCTGTGTAAATTCATGAAAAACAGCCTGAGCAGTTAACAATGGAGTATCCTTCATTTTCAGTTGTAAATCCATATCAGACATATCTTAAAATGAAGCCCTATGCATAATAATGACACGTTGTCACATTTGATGGCAAAAACCAACAAATGATTCTGCAGCTCCACCAGGCCTGCCTTTTACTGTTATCCTAAGTTGTGAACAATTTAGTCAGTAAGGCTCATGCACCTTCCCCCTATAGAGCATTAATTCACTCATATGGACTGTACTTATATAGCGCCTTTCTATCTTATGAAGATACTCAAGAACATAATGATTTTAATCTCCATAGAAAAACCAAGAATGTGTTTGAAAACAGTATGAGACACCTACAGTAAAAGAGTCATGTTAAAATACATATACATGTATTTCTCATCCGTAAATAATACTGAGAATCAGTGGTGGGCACAGCTAATCGAAAACGTAGCTTTGCTAACGCTAAACCGCTAAACAGATTTTTAAAAATTAGCTGATGCTAACGTTAAAGCACCAACGATCCTTAGCTTTTCTTAGCATAGCATAGTATAGTATTGCTCCATGTAAATTACCATTGTACTGTATGATTTTAGTGTGGAGAACTGTCTTTAAGAAAAATTAGTGGACTTGAATTTATCGAATTTAAATTTAGCAGAAGCTAATTCTGCTAACATTTTTCAAATGCTAATCCGCAACATGGAAAGTTAGCTCCGCCATTAGCGGGCTAGCTGAACCATGTCCGCCACTACTGAGACTCATCAGCAGAGCTATTAAAAAAATAAAAAAAT